AAATTCTGTGTCTGTCCCTAAGTAACAATTCTGTGGGCCCTAAGAAACGTTTCTGTGGCCCTAAGTAACGTGGTTCTGTGGCCCTCAGTAACAATTCTGTGTCCCTCAATAACAATTCTGTGTCTGTCCCTAAGTAACAATTCTGTGGCCCTAAGTAACGTTTCTGTGGCCCTAAGTAACGATTCTGTGCCCTCAGTAACAAATCTGTGTCCCTCACTAACAATTCTGTGTCTGTCCCTAAGTAACAATTCTGTGGCCCTAAGTAACGATTCTGTGGCCCTCAGTAACAAATCTGTGTCCCTCAGTAACAATTCTGTGTCTGTCACCTAAGTAACAATTCTGTGGCCCTAAGTAACGTTTCTGTGGCCCTAAGTAACGATTCTGTGGCCCTCAGTAACAATTCTGTATCCCTCAGTAACATTTCTGTCTGTCCCTGAGTAACAATTCTGTGTTCCTAAGTAACGTTTCTGTGGCCCCTAACTAACGATTCTGTGGCCCTAAGTAAACGTTTCTGTGGGCCCTATGTAACGTTTCTATGGCCCTAAGTAACGATTCTGTGGCCCTAACTAACGTTTCTCTGTCCCTAAGTAACGTTTCTGTGTCCCTAACTCTCTCCCTGTATACAGCCAGGTCTGCCTCTGTTGAATGACTGGAGGCAAATGGAGAATTCTAAAATGGCCGCTATTTATAGCTCGACCATTACACTGTGCTGGCTGGCTGGCTGCTGATTGGCTAATGCGATCACATGTCATGAATGAATGCATTATGGGTCAGCGCGCCTTGTCTGCACGCCTTCCCAGACATCCCCCGCTCTGTCGCCGCACATGTCGCCGCCATTTTAGGAAAAATTTCGATTCGCGCATCCGAAGTCTGCTTATTTTCGGATTCGACGCAAATCGAAATTTTCCTAATATTCGAAACGAATTCCACTTCGCCTACTTCGATTCGCTCATCTCTAGTCATCAGCATAGAGATGGTACTTAAAGCCATGGGAGTTTATCAAGTGACCAAGGGAGGAGGTGTAGATGGAGAAGAGAAGGGGTCCAAGGACAGATCCTTGAGGCACCCCTACAGAAAGAGGGAGTGAAGAGGAGGAGGCAGCGTTATAGGTAACGCTGAAGGAGTGCTGCGATAGGTAGGAGGAGAACCAGGAGAGAGCAGAGTCTCTGAGACCAAGAGAGTGGAGTTTTTTGGGGATGGTCAACCGTATCAAAAGCCGCAGAGAGGTCAGTAGTAAGAGTATGGAGTATGGTTTTAGCAGTTAGTAGATCATTAGTGAGTTTTAGTAGGGCAGTTTCAGTGGAGTGGAGGAGTGAGCGAAAGCCAGACTGTAAAGAAGGTTGCTGTCAAGAAGGTTGTTGTCGGTGAGGTGGGAGCTCAGGCGATTGGTTTAAGCCCACAAGTGCTTTTTTTTATCACTACTATTCCAATATATTGGCTTTTGAAATTGACAAATGCACCAATTTAGAATTTGGATGAAAGGTTTAGCACTGGGAAAAAACCTTTTTTTGAAGGATAAATAGTGCATTTTATATACAACTACAGTATATAGGTCAGACCAAAATGAGGGACAAATGAGGAGGAAAGAGGGACAGAGGGACTTTACTCGAAATTAGGGAAAGTCCCTCGAAATCAGGGACAGTTGGAAGCTATGCATTGTTACCATTGCTTTTTGGGGATATTTTGTTGTGCCTGTCTCCAAGATTTATGCATCTTCGCTTCCATCCCTTGTTTTGCTGGCTGCCTAGTAAAGAATGGGTTTAGCAATGGTTGAGGTGACCTGATATTTCATAGCAGGAGGTTATCCCTGGTTTTATGCTCTGATCAAGTAATTGTTTGTAAGTGCCTTAAATGGACACAAGATGGCAGCATCTTGCAGCCCAATTGTACAGACCTTGTTGCAAAGCTTTGTGGGATTCATAGGCTGACTGAATGGCTTTGCTGTCTGACGATGGGCTAACAAACTACATTTCCCAGAAGAGCTGGTGTGTAGGCAGAGGAAAATAAATACAGAAGCCCAGGAACCCGGGACAGGAAATGAGGGGTGAGAGCTGAAGAAGAAGTGTGGAGGAGAAGGCTGTGTGGGACACCGGAGGACTGGGCCAGGCTAGACCACAGAGAGAGTGAAGGGACAAGGAGGAGTTGCTGACTGCTGACACTGCTGATGAGTCTGATGAGCTTTCCTACAGGCTGGTGATCCAGAGTAATCTCTGAAGCAGGAACCACAGGAACACTGGAGGCCACCATCTGCAGAGAGAGCATCAACTACCTGATCAATGCCACAGATTGGGTGAGAGAGTTCCATTCTCAAGCCATTCAAGTTCCAATGACATTGTACAGGTCTGCTGCTTTCTGTATAGTTTAACTGACACTATTCACAAGTTACACATGTTGAGGCCTAGTTCACCAACCCCACTGGTTCAGCAAAATCCAATCACACTGCCATGCCTTGTCCTCCGCCAGCGAAGCCACATCATTGCTTCCATTGCAGTCTGTACCACATTCACCAAAGAGCTCCTGCCTTGCTGCAGTTTGCCAAATGGGTCCTAAAAAGAGTTAATCCTTACAGAAAGGGCTGCTGCTCATATTTGTTTATCCCTCCTGAATCTGCATTTTACCCTGTGTGTATTGCAGGGGTACTGTCCAAGCTACCTACTTTTAAAGATGCATCTCCATTCTTTTGTATTCACCTCTTATTAAGGAACGTCTACTTTTGCTTTCAGAGAGATTAGAATTCTTAAAGTGCACCAACTTGGGCCCCATGAAGCACGCAGAAGATCTTATACTGCAGTTTAAATGGACATTGACCTATTCAATTAATAGCTTGTAGTAGTCAATTAATAGCTCTTGTAGTTTTTCTAGCTCACTGGGGAAAGGCATCTCAGGACTTGGGTTACTGGCTAAGTTCTGAATTGCAGGACGTTCATAACTGATTGAGATTTGCTGTGTTTGACTTTTACTTGAAATTACAAGTGATAGCTATTATTTTATGCACAAATGTTTCTATTGTTTTACTGTGCTTACATTTGATCTCAATACAGCCAAGATATCAGTTCACTCTAAAATGTCTGTGAGTTTATTTTGTGGTTGCAGCTGGAGGGTTCATCTGACTTTAAGATGGTTTCATCAGGGGTTGCGCTTCCAGAGCGGGGTCAGGCAAGACAGGGAACCCAAAGATCAGCAGTCCCTGGGGGGGTAGTGCTACAGGTGATTAACCTGTGTTATGCAGTGCACTCTGACCTGACTTACTCTATACACTAGGCCAGGCGATTTATATCACGGCACCAACTCCTTCAATCAAGGTTCTGTGGAAACAATGCCACTTAGTAGAGCCAGCTACAGGCTGCCAATAATCTTTTTAGCTATATGTAAGGATGTTATTCCAAACCCCACTGTAAGGGGGATTCTTCTAAATAGCCACCAATGTAATAGGCATTCTTCCCACTGCCCATCAATGCATTGGTTTTAGCAAGGAATCCCTATGACCTGGAAATTATTTAAAAGGTAAAATGTTGCATTAGTTAATAAGATGAAGACAGGTAGGCGGTTTCTCTGCCAGGCTGGACTCTATGGGAGAGATTTACTAAACAGGAATGTGAAAAATCTGGTGTAGCTCTACACAGAGACCAGTCAGCTTCCAGGTTTTATTGTAAAAGCCTAATTGAACAGGCTGAAGATAGAAGATGATTGGCAAACATGTACAGCTGCACTGGTTTCTGAGTGCACCAGTTTTAGTAAATCTACCCCTAAGGGCTCGTTCACACTTGGCTGTTTTGCCAACGCTTGCCAAACGCCCCTATAGCGTTTGGCAAGCGTTGGTCGGCGTTTGCTGAGTGTTTTTAACGCTCGGCAAAAATGCGCGGTTTAGCGGCGGTTGCTAGGCGTTTGCCGAGCGTTAATAACGCCCCACAAACGCCTATAATGCAGTTTGAGTGGTGTTACCGCTCCGCAAACGCCCCGCAACCGCGTCGCAACCGCACCGCAAAAACGCCGGGCGTTTGCGGAGCGGCACCATAGAAGAATAGGAGGCTTCAAAGCCTCCTGGCGTCCAAACGTCCGTTTTGCCGCGATGTACAAAGCTCCCGTTAGCACTGTGTTTCTGGGAAGCGGTGCACGCCTCTCTGCCGCCTGCACCAGTTTTAGTAAATCGTACCCCTAAGGCTGGCCATACACTGTACAATTTTCTGTCCAATTTCTGCCCAAATTCCTTTAGATTTACCTTCAACTATGTAGTGCCTAATTGGATACAATTGAAAGTGTTGTTAGGTTTGACCTCCTATTATATGGTTTTTTTGGTAAATCTAAACCAAAATCTCAAGAAAATTGGATAATCTATGGCCAGCCTTAGGGTTCTCAGCACCTCACATATCAGGGCAAAAAAAACAAACAAAAAGCTTATTCTTGCAAACATGAACCCAGGAAAAGAGAAATACTGTTTCTTATGTATACATTCAACAACCAGAGCATAGGAATCTTCCTGCTAGCGAGCAGAAGTAATCCAGCACCTGGGGTTAGTTTTTACTGTTTAAGGGATTTTTTTAATTCTACTGCACTGATATTTTGGGAATATACTGTTTCTTATGTATTTGGGTGACTAGAAGCCTCTCCAGACATAGTTTTTAGCAAAGCGAGAGGTAAAATTTCTATTATGAATTTATTTCTTTCTGTTATCCCATTGGGAGGTTTTTTGCTCTCTTCCTTTCCCTGTAAAGTCCGTATAAGGAACGGAAGGCACAAACAGCAATAACAATATTGTCAGAAGATCGAACCCTTCCTTACTCCACTAAAAATGTGTTTCTGATTGCTTCACTCTTGGACAGATTTCCTGTCACTTTTTCCAGATTTTCCTGTCACTTTAAAGAAACCCTGTCACCAGACCATTAATTTTAATAAAAATCTTCATGTAAGGTTATATGTAAATCTAGGGAATTTTAGACATGTTCTTTAGCTGTAAATCCCCTTGTGTAGACATCCAGAAGCCCTGAGAATGCTGTTGGGGCAGGGGCGGACTGACCATATGGAAACTCGGGCATTGCCAGAGGGCCCAGGGTCAGTAGGGGGCCCCATGAGATGCCCCTGGTACCTTTTTCATAGGCTTTTTTGAGTTTGGGCAAGGACACAGGGGCCCCATGATCCCCTATTGCCCAGGGGCCCCATGAGTTGTCAGTCCGCCCCTGTGTTGGGGACCGCCATTATGCATGCAATGTTAGCAGCCATAGCAGACAGCAGACACAGAGCTAATATTCTATTGTATTCCCCTTTGCTCCTCCCCTGGCAGCTACATAAACGTTTATGTACAGAGATGAGAGGAGGAGTGAAGAATTCTTCTAGCAAGTTCAAAAGCATGTTGCAAGTGAAAATAAAATCATTTTATGGTGGGAAAAACACTGCAAAAAAGCATTTCATACTTCATCATACTTTGATTTTTTTTGTGGCTTTACCTGCAATTGTTTAAAGTATAACTAAAGACAAAACCATTTTTTTTAAGTTTTGGATGGAGTGGAAAGATATTAGAACCCATGTCAGGTTTTCATTGCCGTCTGTGTTCCCTTCAGGGAGATTCACCCTGTTCTGATTACCCTTATCATCGAAAATCACAAATTTTGGGTTGTCCCTAGAGAAGTAATAGAGGGTAAATCTTCCAATGGGGGCACTAGTTCTGGTTACCTGGGGGGGCCCAAGGGATTCCCTTAATTTGCAGGAATTCCCCCTCACTTCCTGTTTTGGCTATGGGGATTGTAACAAGGGCAAGCAGACACAGGTAGTAATAATAACCTAGAGTTTCTAACTCTTCCCTTCTTTACTGAAAAAATAGGAGTTTTAGCTTCCCTGTAATTTTCTTTATCTTCAAGCACAGTACAGGACACCAGCCTTGTATTCATAGACCATGGTTTATATGTGGCAGGGGCAGACTGACAACTCATGGGGCCCCCGGGCAATAGGGGATTCAGTCTGTATCAGGTGGACATTTCAACAAGAGGAGGATCAGAGAAGTCAGGATCAAACAGCCTTTTTACTCAATGCAGAGGATTGGTTCCACAATCACAATCCTCTGCATTGTGTAAAAAGGCTGTTTGATCCTGACTTCTCTGATCCTCCTCTTATTGAAATGTCCACCTGATACAGACTGAATCCGTAGTCACATTCACATGCTCAGTTTGGTGTGTAATGCTAGAGAGGGTTTTTTTTTTCTTGGGAGGGTGCATGTGATCAGCACAAGGTCAATCAGCACTGTCCAGACAGAGATCAGGGGTTTCACATCCTCCTAGAACAGAAAGAAAACTCCTCCTACAAGCTTTAACCAGTGCTCTGCTGAAGTCACAAGACTGCTCTAACTGCTGATGAGAAAAGGTATGTAGCAGTTTTATATTTACTAAAATAATTGCATTTCCATGTTGTGTGTACTGTGGGAGACCAGATATAGTGAATGCAGGGTCCTGGGTTTATTAACATTTTCATTTATAATTCTTAATTTAATTTATTTAAAATTTTCATTTTATTTATTTAAAAGTTAAAGAACCTGAAAACACTTGGATAACAGCTTGAAGCACCTTGCAGTTAAAGCTCGCATCAGACGAGGCCTGAACATTTGGAGAAAGCATAAACAGAGTACCATGTTGCGGCCTTTCAGATTTGGGATGCAGGTGCTTGATTCTGAAAAGCCAAAGAGACACCAACAGCCCTAGAGGAATGAGTTCTGTTGGGGAAGGGAGGAACCCTTTCCTTAACTGCATATGCCTGGGAAACAAATTGTCTGATCTACAGTTGCAAGAAAAAGTATGTGAACCCCTTGGGATTACGTGGAGTTTTGCATGAATTGGGCATAAAATGTGCTCTGAACGTCATCTAAGTCACAACAATAGAAGAACACAGTCTGCTGAACATAATACTAACACAAACATTAGATGTTGCCATGGTTTAATTGCACATAACATGTAAACATTCACAGTGCAAGGAGGAAAAAGTATGTGAACCTTTGGACTTAATAACTGGTTGACCCTCCTTTGGCAACAATAACCTCAACCAAACGTTTCCTGTAAATGCAGATCAGACCTGCACAAACGATCCTTTGGACCACTCCTCTTCACAAAACTGTTTCAGTGTAGCAATATTCTTGGGATGTCTGGTGTGAATCACTCTCTTAAGGTCATGCCACAACATTTCAATCGGGTTGAGGTCAGGACTCTGACTGGGCCACTCCAGAAGGCGTATTCTGTGCTGTTGCAGCCATTGTTTTGTTGAATTACTTGTATGCTTTGGGGTCATTTTCCTGTTGCATCACTCATCCTCTGCGGAGCTTCAGTTGGCGGACAGATGGTCGTACGTTTTCCTGCAAAATGTCTTGATAAACTCTGGAATTCATTTTCCCATCAATGACAACAATCCGTCCAGGCCCTGATGCAGCAAAGCAGCCCCAAACCATGATGCTTCCTCTGCCATGTTTTTACAGTGGGGATGAGGTTTTGATGTTGGTGTGCTGTGCCTTTTTTTCTCCACACATAGTGTGGTGTGTTCTTCCTAAACAACTCAATCTTGGTTTCATCTGTCCACAGTATATTTTGCCAGTAGTGCTGTGGAACATCCAGGTGCTCTTTTGCAAACGTCAAACGTGCTGCAATATTCTTTTTGGACAGCAATGGCTTCCTCCGTGGTGTCCTCCCATGTACTCCATTCTTGTTTAATGTTTTCCTTATTGTTGATGTGTCAACAAAAATGTTAGCATGTGCCAGAGATTTCTGTAGGTCTTTAGCTGACACTCTGGGATTCTTCTTTACCTTATGCAGCATTCTGCGCTGTGCTCTTGCAGTCATTTTTACAGGACGACCACGCCTAGGGAAAGTAGCAACAGTGCTAAACTTTCTCCATTTGTAGACAGTCTGTCTTACTGTGGACACATGAACATCAAGGCTTTTGGAGATACTTTTTGTAACCCTTTCCAGCTTCATGCAAGTCAACAATTTCTTGATCGTAGGTCTTCTGAGAGCTCTTTTCTGCGAGGCATGGTTCACATCAGACAGTGCTTCTTGAAACCAGTAAACCCAAAACAGGTGTGTTTTTTTTAAGGGCAGGACAGTTGTCAGCAACACATCCAATATCATCACACTGATTGGAGTCAAGGTTGGCTCACTCCTGGCTCCAATTAGCTCTGGGAGAATTCATTAAGCTAGGGCCTCACATACTTTTTCCTCCCTGCACTGTGAATGTTTTACATGTTATGTGCAATTAAACCATGGCAGCATCTAATGTTTGTGTAGTATTATGTTCAGCAGACTGTGTTATTCTGTTGTTGTGACTTATATGACATTCAGAGCACATTTTTATGCCCAATTCATGCAAAACTCCACGTAATCCCAAGGGGTTCACATACTTTTTCTTGCAACTGTACCTGGCAATAGTGGAGTGGGAAGCAGGATGTCCTCTATGAGAACCTACAAGAAAAATAATTATTCAGTCTTGTAAACAGATGCTGTAGCTGCTAGGTAGCCCCCTGACAGCCCTGATCACATCCAAGCAATGTCATACAGTTTCCTTGTTATGTTTTGGGGCAAGACAGAAGGAATGAGAAAAATGTTCTCAGTGAGGTGGAAAGAAAAGACCACCTTGGGTAGAAAGGAAGGTTTTTTGGTCTCAAAATCACCTTGTTTTGTGTAAAACAAGAAAAAAGCTATTTACAAAAAAGTTCTGCCAACTCAGAAATGCACCGTACAGATGTAATGGCCACCAGGAAAGCAAACTTACAAGTGAGGCCTTCTAATGGAATGTCTCTAATCCATTCAATGGTTGGTTGCTGAAGTACAGATAGCACAAAGTTGAGATCCCAAGGTGACACTGGAAGTTGAATTGTGGATTTATATAAGCAACTACCCTTAGAAACATCTCAATTAGGGTTGCGAGACGAGGTTCCTGGAAGAGACTGGATAAAGCAGAAACCTGTTCCTTGAGGGTACACAGGGCCAGAAGCTGTCAAGACCAGACTGAAGAAAGGCCAAAATATGACTGATAGAGTATTCCCCAGGGTTCAGCTGTCTGTATTCACACCATGCAAAGAAAGCTTTCCGTGTGTGATGGTAAATCTTGCGGGAGTTAGATTTTTCTTGCTCTGAGCAACTTGGGAATAACAGAATCAGAAATACCTCTTTTCTTTAGGACTTGGTTTCAACAGTCGTGCTGTTAAAACCAGTGACTGAAAAGCAAGATAGAACCAGTAAGTCAGATCTGTTTGGAAGAGACTTATCAGGAGTTTCAGTATGTTTGTGTACCATGTCCTTCTGGGCCAATTTGGTGCAAAAAGTATCACCAGGACCCTTTTTGCCTTTTATCTTGCACAGCAGTCAAGGGATGATCTTTATCAGAGAAAGGCATAAATCAGTTTGAATTGATCAACATGAATTTGTTCAGCTTGTTGTTAAATATGAAAGCTTAGATGTCAATATTTGGTTTTCCTCATCTTTGACTGAGATTATAAAATATATTGTGGTCAGAGACCACTCTCCCAGGCCAATGTGATGGCAATTTAGGAAGTTTGCCTGCCAATGATCCACCCCAGGGATGGTAAAACAACCAGCCAAGAGAGCTGGATTAGCAGACTTTTTACTTAGGGCAGCTTGACTTCTGTTGCCCGCTGAAGGTTTATGTAGGTGACTGCACCCTGATTGGATGATCTTGCACAATTGAGGTCCAGTGTTGTAGAGATAATCTGATGGCTCTCACTTTCAGAATGCTGATAGGGAGTCTTGATTCAACTAGGCACCAGGTGCCCTGGACAGTTATAGAGTTCTAAGCTCCCCTCAGCTTATAAGGCTGGTATCCATTGTTACAACCTTCCAGAACACCTGAAGGAATGATTTCCTATTGCAAGGCAGAAGTGGAGAGCTATTATGCCACGGAGAGCTTTGTCTGATGGATAGAAGCAGTGTACAATCCAGGGAGTGGATTTACTTGTTCCATGACTTGAGTATGATGGATTGAGGAGGTCTGCAGTAAAACTAGGCAAAGGGAACTACCTTGGAGAAAGCTACCATTAAGCCCATGCAGAAGCAAATTGAGAGGTGGCATTTTTAGCTGAGGGGTCCACATGTGGGACCTTGGGAAGCTTTCTCCTTCCCCTAAAAGGAGGAAGATTCTGGCTTGGGCTGGCCAACTACTCCTGATGGTGTGGGGGGCTGGAGAGCAGACATTATAAAGTTGATTACCCAGCCAAAAGTTTGAAGCAACTGAATCATCCTCTGGTATGTTGGCAGACAAGGTTGTCGCTGAAGTCCTTTGGCAAAAGGCTTGTCTAGGTAATCTCGTGACGTGTGACATGAATTCCCTAGTCCACAGAAGAGCTAAAGTGGGCAAGCATTTTTGTGAACACTCAGTGTGCAGATGTGGCTGAGGAGAGTCTGAATAGAAATACTACAGATTGGACACTTTACATGTCTCTAACAGAGTAAAAAAGCCATGAAATTGCATAAGAGATTGTTTGAAGGAGGTCTGGGCGATGGTCAGATGTACGAATGGATGAGTCATATTCTGTCTGAAATGACCAGAAATATCGTTATCCCCTTTATCTGAGTATAAGCAATGTATATGACAGTCTGTCGTTCTGGGCATATGGACCCTAAAAGCTCTATCCAAATCTGATAGAATACAATATGAATTCAGCGCGTCCTAGAGGTTGATATATATCACCTTATATAGATGAGATCAAGCCCCCGTCATAACTAAGCACTCACGATGCGTTTCAGAGATGTCTATAGCTTCGCCTTC